ATTTTCTTTTAGTTGAACATGCACTTACTTGTACGTTGTACTCTAGGACTTGTATTTGATCTACAGATGAATGATGGAATAATGTAATTTACTTCTGTACCTCAATTCGGTCTCACTATATTTCAGTGAGCGGCTTTTAAAAGTTAAAACTGCAAGCATAATACACACAAGTAACGTAACACTGTGTCGTATTTACTTAACGTAGGGCAGTTGCGCTATATCCTAGTGGAGGGCATAATTATTAATTAATAGGCATTATAGGCCAGAGAGAATTTTGCGCCCCTTCACACCTGCACCCGGGGTGAATGCCCCCCTCTTGCTATGCCACTGATTATTTGGATACTTTTGTGGACTAGGACTTGGTATGGCCTAATGGTTAGAGTACTCGACTCACAATCTGCTGGTTTTGTGATGGAACCTGACACTAAACATGCTCCCCTTTCAGCAGTGTGTGTGGTATTGATGGAGGATTATAAAGTTATTGTCACTCCCACTGTTGTTTATTCATGAGTAGCCAAAGAATTGGCAGCTGTTGCCTTCCCTCTAGTCTATTGCTTCAAAATTAGTGGTAGCTAGTGCAAATATCTGTTGACAAGCTTGCACAAAATTCTGTAAACAAACCTTTGTGGAGCTTTTAATATTTTAAAACTTTCATAACTAGACAACTGCTAGTTATACAATACACAATGGAGATAGATGAAGATAACAAACTCTCGTTCCTTGACATGATAGTTACTAAGATATATAACTCGTGTACTACAGGATTTTAGAGGAAACCTACAGATAACATCCCATCGGTGTAAAGACAGGCACCATAGACTGCCTAGTCTCAAGAATGGAAAAATTTAACACACATCATATGAAAAAAGAAGAAGGAAAATACATCACTGCATCATTATTCGACAATGGATATATTGTACACTTGATAAAGAAAAAAACTATAAATATCAAGAATAAGCAGTAGGAAAATTGCAAACCCAACTATATTTTTCTATGTTACAGGTCTCTGTGAAAACATACAGTGGATACATAAACAGCCTAAAGCCAGAACAATATTCAGAAGGTAACATCCCAGTTCGGCTACTCCCATTGGCAATAGACTAAATTGGAACAAACCATTTAGAAGCTATGACACAATATTAAATAGTAAGTTGTACGTGCTAAGTCACATAAACATCCAATGGAGAGTTCAGAGACCATTTACAACACCCCTTGTGAATGTGTATTCCAATACATTTAACAAAAAAAAGTTCAAACATATGTTAGAATTCAGGAGCATAAAAAGACATATGGGCATTATAAATAGTTATATCTGCATTAGCCCATCATGCCAAACAAAAACCATACAATACATTGAAACAATACTAATATAATAGGTTATGAACCATACATGAGAAAAAAGGAAGATAAAAGTAGTATTCTGCAGCCATTCACCTAAATGATAACACAATCAATTAACCTAGAAAAGAATTCAGCAACTCACAAAAACCCCATACAAAAGATTAAAATATTTTTCTTTCACCTTTTCATTCTTATCCTGATAGTGACCTAAGCAGATTGAAATATTGTTACTCATTTTGTGTTTTTAATACTCGTATCAGTTATCTCTACTGTATATTTATTTCAAATGGGTTTCTAAGCACCATGAATTAAGATACACAGTTGATTCAAGCTCTAATTGGGGAAACTGGACTGATAAATAACCTTTCTACCAAGATAGCCCAGAATTGAATCCTTGCACTTCCACTATACAAAGCCCTCTTCATGAATTCCATGAAGACCACAATAGATTAGTATCCAAAATGTAGAATATAAACTAATTAATAACTGGTGTGAAGTGATAAAAGATGCAGTAGCTGGTAATTAAAGTTGGGTGATTGTATAGGTTACTAACTATGACAGTGGTTTATATTTGATCACCATAACCTTACAATAAATACTTAATCAACATTAGAAATATGAATATCATTAGTATTGTTGTAAACATTCAAATATTAAGGTACATTTGTTTTACACTCAGCAGTTTAAACTGACAGAATTTTCTTTGGTCATTAGTTCAAAATTAGGGATGTACATTGGAGAGGGAACATTTGGTTATAGCTCAACCAAATAATTTTATATTGAAAAAGATAAAAGTTACTACAATCATCTATTTTCCAAATCATCATTATGTGATAACTTTATTTTATACAGTCAGCTATGACTTTATGTATGTGATTTCCTTTATTTGATAACTTTTTTATTCTGTTCTAGACCTGTTTCACGGAGTGTGTTGCCAACTTAACTTTTGAGATGTGTGGTTGTATGTATGATGATTATCCTTATTTATATGAATTATCTGGAACAGTTCGTCGCTGTCAACAGTCTATGGAAGAAGGAGGTAGTTTTATAGTTTTGATAATTTTATATTTTATTTAACAAATTATTTGAGAATGTTGTTTTAAATTATATTCTATATGAACTAGAATACCAGTTAAAACAGAATCAATAAAAATATCTCCCTTTAAAAAATGTTTTATAAAAGCATACAGTTTTTCAATAACTTAAACAAGATCTATTTCTCTTGAAGCACATGTTCATAGTTATTTTTCTTTTAAAGTTCATTTTACCTTCTTTTCAAGGGTATTGAAAATTAAATATGTTTATTCAAATTACTGTTTAATATAATTATTGATATAAACGTATCATTCCCTGTTCCCTATACATTATGAATATATAATATATATATTATATTTCTCTTCTTGCCCCTGAAGAAGAAAGGCCCACCTTTCAAAAGTGCTCGGGTTATAGGGTTTTTATTCATTTCTATCAAGTTACAACATTAAATATATAGTTTATGCTACTGCCCTTTCTGGATTGTAAAGGACCTTGAAAAATTCCCATATAAAAAAAAAAGTAAAACACTACATTAAACTATTTATTCACCTAGTCTTTTTGCTGTTTTCATTTCCAAGGCCCATGGATGGGATGGTATCTTGTACCTTGTTGTAACTAGCCATACTGTCACTGGGGGAATTCCTCCTGGGTTGGTTGTCAGGTGAATTCACTGGTGGCTCTATCCTTAATGATCCTCTGTAAGCAGTCTTTTCAGGAACACTGTTCTTCTCCACAGGTTGAGGTCCCATTAAAAAGTTATTCTTTGGAGTTATCCAGTTAGTCATTTTCTCTACAGTGTATTTCCAAAGACTGTCATGGTGAATGACCTTTAGCTTTGGAGTTTGTCCTTTGATGATGAGAAATATTCAGCCATACCATGTCATCTTGATGGAATCCAATTTTATCAACACTTACAGAATAACTACTTTCACTTTATAACAAGGTGATTTCAGTGTTTTCTGGGTAAACCCATGTACATATTGTTATCCTTGATATCCATGAGAGCTCTTCCAACCTCAGTCCTACATAATATGCTGTAGCATTTGTTTCCATTACACCCCAGTCACTATATGCAAAATTACAGCTATTAGCTTCAGATATGAGTGTCTTGTTTGTTGGTGGTAAAATTACCACCATCCCTGTTTCTACTGGACATTCAACCTCTGGTGTAGTAATTGCTATGTAGTGCACAGATATTTTTTAGTTATAGGCTATGAAGCTAGCCTGACCTAGCACATGTGTCTCTGCATGTAGTTAGTTTCCAAAATACCCTTTTCCTAGATGTCAATTACCCATACATCATGAGACAAGAAAAGCTTCCTACACTAAGGATACTTCCCTTTCACTGGAACTTTATGTCCACCTGTTGTTCACAACAATCTTTCTTCTTTTTTTGTCTCTGGAAGCAATTTCTCATCTTTCATTGATGAATTATGATGAACAATTGTAGCTGTGGAACCAGTGTTGGCCAGCACACTGCAAGGGTTTCCATCAATAAGCCCAGTGGAATTGTGGCTGATTTTTCTGAAATATTTAACTTCTATTTATGGTAGATGGAGTATTTTCAGCTGAATTTCATCTTATAAATCCAAATAATTCCTGTTATTTTTCATGCCTTACTATCTCTGTGTTATTTCTTACATCTGGTTGGGATCTGTCTTCTTGGTTTGATAATAGCTTTTGATTCTGTACAGTCTCATCTGTAATGGCCAGATTTCCCACAATTATACTCCATATAGGCCTTTGCCTGTATTTCCTGGCAGTATGTTTCTTTAATTTACACTTGAAACATCTATTATCTTGAGGTTTATTTCTTCTAGTTTAATCATCAACTGCAGAACTTCCTTTAAAAATGTCCACCTGCTTTGTGTCATTTGTTATAGCATTTATAAATTGATCATTTGCCAACAAATCCATCATTTTATGAGAAGCATCTGGCTAAGATAATTGGGCATGCCTTTGCAAATCCTCTGTTATTTTAGCTAAGTTCTCTTCTTTCCTTTATACCCTGTTCCAGAACTTTGCTTTGGAAACTTCTTTCTGGTATGACACTCTGAACCTGGCTATCAATGTTTGATATTTTAGCTTGAAGGTTATTCATTGCTGTCAAAGCTGGTCCTTTTAGATGGGCAGCAAGATGGATGGCTTGTTGTTCATTATTCCACCTTTTCACTTTGAACTGGCCAGCTAAATTCTGGAACTGAATTTAGTAGTCTCATGGTTGCAGTAGTACAGGAAGGTCCTTCATTAACATGTGGAACATCAGTAGTAGTAATAGGTGTAGGCTAAACAAGTTCTCCTATTCTATATTTTGTAGCAGATAAAACTCTTTTGAGCTGATGCAGTATGGCTGGTTAAATCTTTACATTTCATAATTCATTTTCCTGGTGTTTTATTCTTTTAAATATATTCTGTAATACCTCAGTAACACTTTCTACCTTGTTGATGTCTTTTGGCTAAATTTCAATTTTATCATCACAGTCTTTCTGTGCTCGTTTGATGTTTTTCTGCATTTCTTCAAACATGCTGTTGTAACCTCTCTTTACATTTTTAATAGCTACATCATTCTTGTCTTCAATCAGATTTATTTTAAATCTTCTTTCTTTAAGAGGGTTCCCTTCATTTAATTATTTTTTTAAAATTCCTTTAACGTTCTTCTAATTTTCTTTCCCTTTCTTAACTACTTGTTGCTGACTCTTCTTTACCTGGCCAACCATTGGTCGAAACATATAGTCTTGTCTACTCTGCTATTCAGATATGTATGGGTAGTTCACTTGAAAGTGATCCAATAATCCACAGGCAAAGTAAATTCTTTGCTCCTCTCTTCCAGGGTGATATTCAGGCAGAGAGATCATTAGAATATTCTGTAGCTTTAAAACCATGAGGGCACTGGAATAGTCCTTCCCATTCACTCAACAACCATGTAGTAGCATCACACTAATGGGGTGTGTGAATAATTGGTTAATCCTCAGTTAGGTTTGATCTTGACAACATGTATGTGTGCCAGTATGTGATAACCTGTTTGAGGTAAAGCAACTGCAGACTCTTCCTCTCTTGTGATTTGTTTGAAATTATCACTTCGTACCTCATCACCACAGAAACCACCTGTAGGAGTTTGATTACTTTGACTAACAGTAGCCTGAGGGTTCTATACAGACTGCCAAATTTAGTCTCTGGCTACCCAGATGCCACTACAGTCCTCAGTTGTTCTTGCTTCCCTCTCACCAAAATCAGTTCTTAGGGGAAGAGTATTAATGATCATGTTCTTCTTCTGCCTGAGCCATTGGCTGCAACAAGAAAGAACTTATGGATTTTTCACAGCATCAGTAGAAGTATTTTACCCAGGAAAGGACTTCTCTTAGTATCGACAACCTTTTCAAACAGCCTTCTTCCTTTCAGTGATAAGTGCTTCCTCTTGCTTGTAAGTTATCTAACTGATACAAAATACCATATCCTTAAGAATGAAACCTTTTCAAATTTAAATAATGGAGGAGTAGAAATAAAGGACAATACACACTTTGGAAGAAATCAGAAATTCCACAACAAGATATCCTGTGGTCACTGTAGTGAACTTTTCTACTTCCTATTTACCCTGTGGTAACTTCAGGTTCAAACCAATTTCCTTAGAATGATTAGATAGGCCTCAGATTAATGCAAGATTCGAACAAAATATTATTATGAAGTATTCTGAGTTCTCTGAATAATTGAATTCATGAGAAGGAAATAAAGAGACTGTATACTGTTGTACAAAAATACAATTAGTTATTTAAAAACACAAACACAGTGTATGTACTTGGTTCATATGATAGATGTTCACTTTTATGGGATCACAAATACTTTTTCTCCAAACTGCCTTGTTTGAGATCCTATTTTAGACTGACATATTATTTAGTTATATAGTAATGTCAAATTTACTAAGAGTGACTAGTACTACCCACATAACTGTGAGCTTCCATTCAAACATAAGAGAGGTTGTAATGTAAATACTTTAGAGAAAATGTATATAGAAGCAAGTAGGTTGAAAATGCATGGTATGTCTGCATACCACAAATGTACATATACATTTGCAGGGGTGAAATTCTCAAAAAAAAATAGAGATACTCAGCTGGTTGAAGTGGACTTGTTTTTGAAAAAGAAAAAAAAATCTCCATGCAAACATATAAAACGACAAAGTAGCTCAAACAAGTCACGGTACTAGTACTGCCTTAAAAAAAATAAGTTCTGGTTCTCAGTACCAGTGAGTACCGGCAGAATTTCACCCTTATACATTTATAAATATACAGCCAACAATATTGTAACAAATCCTTGAATATGATGGCTGATAAATGGTAAAGGAAAAAACATCTTTTCCTATTGTACAATAATTAGAATTGTAATTTTAGATCTTTATAAGCATAATTTTGTTTTTAATTTCAGTCTGCAAAACAAATCCACTTAAGTCGGAGACAGTTGATGCACGTCATTATTGTAATGGTATATGCCGTACTCCATGCAGGTTAGTGTTACCTCCAGGTAATTTTATTATTGTATTGGTGTTTGAATTGAAAAACTGTTTACAAAAGCAATAAAGAAATATATATATATACTCTATTTATATAAACATTGGCACTTGGATTCATTCTTTTAATAGATATTGAAGCTAAGGGTATGAGTTTGAATGAACATAAATTGTGAAAATTTTTAGTGGACCTTTAATGTAGGTTCTGGTTGAAGTATTTATAAATACATCTTCTCTTACATAATAGCAGAATAGACATGATAACACTCACTGCAAACACTGAGCTAAATCACTCACCAAATATTACATTGAATTCTCATTTAGAATCAGTATATTAAATTTTTATTCATTACTCAGTAACTTCTTATTCATCATTCACTACTTGTATTGATAATGTGCCTTGTTTGTAGATATTTGACAAAGCTTTTCAATCCCTGATATTCATGAAAATTCTAGGTATTTGAATCAATATCATCATGATTAGCAGCTTCATCTAGCAAAGAAACAACTAAACCAAAATATTGAAAATATAGCTTCCTTCCTGGATTGAGAGGTCCCCTGATTAATCCTAATGAAAAATTAAAACAGTTCTCCAAATTGTACATACACCAAGTTTTTTGTTCTAGTTTACTTTTCCAAGGGTTATGGTATACAGATGGCATAGTTTCTTGTCCTTTGTCGTCACTTGTGTGTCTATTCTTGGTGATCTTCTGGAGGTGGTGTCAATAGGAAACTGGGGATTCTCAGCAGGTTGATTTTTCCAATGGCAGATTCATCTCTGGAGTTACCCATTTGGCTATTTTATCACTGAAATACTTCCAAAAGTAAACACAGTGGTTGACCTTTGGTTTGAACTGCCTGACCTTTTGAATTCTGCATAGCACGTCATTGATTCTTTCAATAAAGCATATGGACCTTCCAAACACCTGCTTAACTTTGTTTATCCATTCTTGTGGTGAGGATTGTACAGCCATACTATGCTGCCTCGATGGAAACTTGTCTTATCAGCATTAACGTCATGGTGAATTTTCATTTTATCACAAGCTGATTTAAGTAGTTTCTGGGTAAAGTCAAGTCTAATATCTTTACTATTCAGACTCGTGAGAACTATTCCAATCATTAATCCCTGGAGTTTTTGGTTCCACTACATTCCAGTGATTAAGTAAAGATTTATTCCTAATAACCTCTGGTTTGAGAATTTCACTTCTTGATGGTACAATGAACACTCTCCCTGTTATGACTGGATTTTTATCTTCTAGTATAATAATTATCTTGTAGTACACAGAGATTTCTTGGTCATAGACTGTGAAACTATTGGAAGCTACTCTGCATAAAGTTAGTTCCCAAAATGCAATCCTCCTCAGTGGCAATCACCCACACGCACATCATGAAATATAAAGAAACTTCCTACAGTAAAATTAAGTTCCAACTTTCTTCTTGCAGGAACTTTGTCTACCTGTTGTTTCCATCACTCCATCTTCTTTCAAATTTTCACCTTTTGTTATCAAATCAGATCAAACTACTGTGGCATAGAACCATTGGCAGTCAACATACTGCAAGGTCTCCTACCAATAAACTCATGGACTCATAAAGTGGTTTGTTTAAATAATGAATGTCTTATCTTTTTTTCAGGCAGATAGGATATTCTCTGATGAACATCATATCATAAGTCTGGCTAATTACTATTTCCCAATGTCTGGAAAGCCCTTTGTTGTTCTTTTGATGTGCTTTTGCTCAGAGACTCATCCTCTTTGGTGTATTAATAGCCATTGATTCTTCACAGTCTTGACTCTAATAGCCACATTCTCTACATTAGAACAATTTCCTCTTTATAGTGTCCTTTGGGAGGAGTTCTAATTCCTTACAAGCTTTTACCTGTAGTTTCTAGTAATATGTTACACATGAAACACCTACTGCTTATGGTTTATTTTCTCAAATATGTGTAACTAGTTGTCTAACTAATCCTTTCATTTCATGTAGACTGTCATCAGGGAGAGTTGATATTTCAAAACTATGTGATTTAATGATTCCATACCTTTGAGATGATGTCTTTGTTTATCTACAACTTTAATGAACTTACATTCCATTGCTAAATGCAGAGCTTCCTTTAAAGATGTATACCTACTACCTTGCTTCAACCTAATGTTCATAAACTTGTTCATTATGTCATCTAAAAATTGGTCATGTGTCAAGTAATCCTTCATTTCTAGATAATTTATTTTGTTGTATCACTTTTTGTTTTTTACCACTTTTTTATCCTGTACAGTAAGTTATTGTATTTTAGTAATTTGGAGACTGAAAACAATCTCATTTTTATAGAATTGTATAAAAAATAATCGTTGTTTTTTTTAAAAAAATTAGTTCAAAAAACATATGTTTCATAGTTGTAGTATGTGTTCCAATCTATTCCCATTCAGGTTATATATTTTTACTTTTGTGTGGAAAGTGTGGAAGTAAAGAAACTCAGCTTGCACTTGCAAAACTCTCTTTAAGTGCAAACACGATGTTAAGTTGTTGGGTAAGAGTAGTTTTGACAGAGAAATTAGATACTGTTAAACATAAATATTTGTGAACTTATTACCATACTTACAAAAATAATAAATCAGTTATATTTAGAAGACTGTCGTCTGTGCTCTAACAAGCTACATTAAATTATAGTAAACATTCTTAATAATAAGGAAATATATTTTATACACAATTCGAAATGTTATTGTAGGAAAAATTGCAATAGAAATTAAACCACAAATAAATCTATACCAATACAAACTAATAATTATCAAATCCATTGCTACTCCTACAAGGTCAAAAGTATATAATTGTTATGAGAGAACACAAGCTTATTCCACGAATGGGCTACAGGTTATATATATATATATATAATTGTATTTGTAAGATCATCGAACATATATTAAAATGTATACTTTATATTTAGGTGACATGACAATTACTTGTTGATATCTAGATTACATTCTGTGCATCAAGATTTATGATCATTTTGGAATGTTCAAGGTCTGTACTATTTCCATGCCCAGTTGCTCGATTTATCGATAAAGCTACTCAGTGTATATGCTTCATATTGCCAAGTCTAGCAAATTTTTCAAACATTGTCACGTTTATCTGATAGTAAGACAGCATATATGCACCCGATGAACTTATTAAATCTACACGTGTTCACTTAATAGAAGTTTGTAAAATCACAGAAACTAATCTCACCTGCCACTAACTCTATTATGAGATGGTCAACAGTTTAAGCATACAGTACTGCTAGGATTACATCTTTGGGTTTACTTCTAAACTTTAGTGTGATGTATCGGTGTTAATCTTCCAGTAAGCTTCAACATGTAGCTATTACAAGTTTGATTTTATCTTAGGTGGTTTCATTGTTGTTGCTTTTGTCAGATGTCACGTGATCTAGTGAATTGATCATCCCCAGCACGTCTGTTGTTAGAGTTTAAAGGTATTTTTTGTAGCTTGGGTGGGGGGAAAAAAGTTCTATGCAGTGGTCGAACAAGGGCTTCTTCAATCCTCTCTCAAGCTCAAATTCTGCAGAAACACGTAGTCCATGACAAAACTTCCGATGCCGGTAGTGACCGCAGGGTGCTGCATATCGACTTCAACTATAGGCTGCCAACTGGACGACGTCAGTGCTCCGCCTACCTTCTTGGAATGCGGCCCTGGCCCCTACTGACATGTAGGCCCGGTTCTGCCAGAATCGTGGTAGGGCAGGTAACTTCGGTATAGTATTCCGCGCGTTCCGTTTTTAGTGTGATGGTGAAAAGAAGCAGTTCAGAAATTGTATTATTTTCTCTTCTCGCCGTTTCTTTTCCTTCACTATAACGTAAATGATCGCGTTTTAGGAATGTCAAGAGTGTTTCCATCGTCCATCTCCACTCCGACAGCCATTAATGAAACAATTTAAAGAGCGAATTTCATCCAACGAGGCTAGCTGCCGTTGCTGTCAAGACGACGTGCTTGAGCCTTCGCCTCGGGCTTTTCGGAGCTGTTTGCCGAGTATTTATCAGTCGCCAACAAACTCTGGTTTGATTGAGTTTCCCAATGAATGTTCCTAATGTTTTGTTGCAACATAATACCAAAATACAGCGCTTGAATCAGTTAGATTAGCTTCACCATTTTTTTTTCATATATTCCTACTAAGAATATTTAACGTTCAGCTTAGACTCAAGGCAACATGGTGAAAATGGTTTATAAAATTTGTTATTGCACGCCAATGTTATTATACCTATAATCCTAATGTTTTCCAATGAAAATGGTGTGCGGTGAGTGTAATAACAATATAAACAACATCAAAAACTCGGTATTAAAAAGTGTTAGAATGTCAAATAAGCTGAAATTGGTGAATGCAAGCAGAGAGGCTATTGGTACGAAGATGAAGAAAAAACTATACGTATTACCGGAAACTTGCTGTTTTCTCTTAATAATGCCAGTTAGTTTTCTGTTACTTTCACTTAGCGGGTGGAGTTCACGGTCAGTATCTTTATACTTTTACATAATATTTGTTTTTTTACTAAACTTTATAGTACAATCTGTTCAGGGTGATGGTCCTAGTTTATACGTAACTGGATTGTCCATGAGATCTAGAGAAGCCGATATGAGGGTTCAGTTTGAACTAGAAGAAGAAAAACCTTCAGGTACTGTTGTTGGAACTATTCCTGTAAAGCCGAATTTTACTTATCGTTTCAATGATATTCCAGATGAGTTTTATTTGAATAGTACCACAGGAACTATCATCACCACTAAAAAGATAGACAGGGAAAAGCTTCAAAGAGACCGGTTTGACTTAGTGATACTAAGTAGCCAACCAACATATCCTATCGAAGTTAGAATTATCATCGTTGATATAAATGACAATTCTCCGGTATTTCCTGAGCGAAGTATCTACGTGACATTTTCAGAGAGTGCCAATATTGGTACGAGAGTAATCTTAGACACTGCAACAGATGGAGATGCTGGGATTAATGACGTCACCACAGACTACAAGATTGTCTCTGGAAGCGAAAATAACGAGTTTCGTTTGGTAGTGACTACTAACCCTAGTGGAGAAATGCCCTATTTGCACTTGGAGACAACCAGTCGGTTGGACAGAGAGGTCAAATCCTTTTATCAGCTCAATATTTCTGCTCAGGATGGGGCGAGTACCCCTAAATTAGGTTTCTTGCTAGTGAATATTACTATTCTCGATGTGAACGATAATCCTCCAATATTCGACCACAGTGATTATTCAGTAAGTCTGAATGAGAGCGTTCCTCCTGAAACTAGTGTTTTACAGGTTCGTGCCACCGATAATGACCTTGGTGATAATGGTAAAATCACTTACTTTTTGAGTGAAACAGAATTGCAGTTTGCTGTGGATCCTCAAACAGGAGTAATTTCAACTTTAGATTATCTATCTTGTCCAAAGAATTGCCCCACGTTAGAGAATTGTTCTAAAAGTTGTGTCTTTACTGTATTTGCTCGGGATCATGGATCACCTCGACAGGATGGCAGAGCTTATGTTACTGTAAATCTTCTAGATGCTAATGATCATGACCCCATTATTCGATTTCGCTTTTTCCCTGCTACTGCAAGCTATGCCACAGTGGACGAGAATGCTCAGAACGGGTCTGTAGTGGCAGCAGTAAGTGTAATAGATTTTGATGAAGGATTAAATGGTGAAACCACAATAGATATTCAAGCAGGTAATGAACAGTCTCACTTTAGATTAGAGTCAACGCCCAGTTTTGATATTGTCAGAGTAAACGGTGTGTTAGATCGGGAAAACATTAGTAAATATAACTTGACTATCACTGCCACAGACAATGGATCACCTGCTAGGAGTTCTACAACGTTTTTGATTATTCACGTGAATGATGTGAACGACCATGAACCAGTTTTTGAAAGAAATGAGTACTCTGCAGTGTTAAGTGAACTAGTCCCCGTTGGTACTTATGTTGCTGGGATCACAGCAACTGATGAAGATACAGGGATAAACTCAAACATTTATTACTCAATAGCATCGGGGAACGAAAAGCGTTGGTTTAATTTACACTTTCAAACAGGGCTGATAACTACAGCGAATCCACTAGATCGTGAGGAGCTAGATTTTGTAGAACTGAAAATATCAGCCAGAGATGGAGGTCCCAATCCACGTTGGGCCCATACCTACCTTAAAATACAGATATTAGATGAAAATGATGAAGCTCCTACATTTTCTAAAGGTTTTAGTAACGTTTCTCTGTCTGAGAATGCTCCTCCTGGTTCTTTAGTGACTGTAATGTCAGCAACAGATAATGACCTGGGAACAAATGGAAGTATTTTGTATTATTTAGACCCTGAAGTAGAGAAAAAATATCCAAGTATATTTACTTTAGATAGTACATCTGGGCGTTTAAAACTTAGATCTTCTCTAGACCGAGAAAAAACTGCAGTATATCATGTCAAGGTTGCAGCTCATGATCAAGGAGTTCCTTCACTTTCGTCAACTGTAAATCTGCAATTGAATGTTCTGGATATTAATGACAACAATCCTGTGTTTTATCCTAAACGTTATTTCACATCAATTACAGAAAATCTGGAAATAGGATCTTCTGTTTTGCAAGTAACAGCTTCGGACTTAGATGAAGGTCAAAATTCACGGATATCCTTTTTCATTGTTGAGGGTTCTGATGATGTGTTTGAAATAGATGAACTGACAGGCGTTATTAAAACAAGTGCAGTAATTAAACAACAAGTTAAAACTAGATATGAACTTATTATAGGAGCTAGAAATCCAGGTGATCGTGAAGCAACAGAAAATGCAGTAGTTTTGATTTATGTTAGCCAACTACAAGGAAAAACTTTTTCACAACAATTTGATCAGCCTATTGGTTATAATTTTGTAATAGAAGAAGATCCTAATGAACAAGAACGTAGTAATGGTCGAGAGGTAGGACGTGTTTCACTGAGGCACACCTCTGACATGGATCAAGTAAAATACAGTATTACATCAGGAGATTCTTTGGGTTGGTTTGATATAAATGATCAGTCTGGAATGATTACTACATCCCAAAGAATTGACCGGGAAATAAAAGCGTTTATATATCTCGTGATTACAGCATATAATAAAGATACTTTCATCACAACTAACGTCAGCATCCACGTAAGTGACATCAATGACTATAGTCCTACGTTTACGTCACCCACAACAACGGTCAAAGTAATGGAGAACTGGCCAGTAGGTCACGAAGTGCATCTTGTAGAAGTTGAAGATTTAGATATTGGAATAAACAGCAAAGTACGTTTCTCTCTCTCAATCAATCCTAATGATGTTTTCAATATAAATACAGACACTGGCATGATATATTTGAATAAACTTGTGAAGTTTATACCAGACATTAATTATAAAATTGAAATAGTGGCTACAGATGAAGGTGTTCCAGCACTCACATCTAAACAGCAGATTGTTGTATTAGTGGAAGATGTGAATGACCACACCCCAGTATTTGAACATATCTCCTACGAAACTTCTGTGTTAGAATCAACATCCATAAATGAAAGATTTTTTATTGTTGCTGCTTCAGATGAAGACGCAGGTGAAAACGGTCACGTATTGTATGAAATTAAGGAAGGTAATGACGAAGATAAGTTCGGAATTTTTCCTGATGGTTTTTTGTATATTAAGACGCTTTTAGATCGCGAAGAAAATAATTATTATTCGCTTGTTATTCAAGCGAAAGATAATGGTACAAAACCTCGAAAGTCAGACGTATCTCTTGTTATTCATGTCATTGACGTAAATGATAACATACCTAAGTTTGATAACAACACTTTGGTGTTTTACATACCAGAGAATGAACCGCCAGGCTCGTATGTTGGAAAACTTTCTGCAGATGATAAAGACATTGGGAGAAACGCTGAGTTAACGTTTTCAATCAGTACAAATCAAAACGACTTTGTAATTGATCCTAAGAGTGGTCTTATCAGAACATTAAGAGAAGTCGATCGAGAGAAACTGGTCGAATTTGCTGGTCATGATTACATAGTTATCGAAGCTTTAGTTCTGGATGGTGGGCTAATGAGGTTGCGGGATGAGGCCAAGGTAACCGTGTACGTGACTGATGTAAATGACAACGTTCCACAGTTTCTTCGTACGCCTTACAAGGCAGCCATTTCAGAAGGTGCACCACTGCAAACCCAAGTTGTGCGTGTAAGTGCTATAGATGCTGATGATGGGATTAATGGAAATATAGTTTACTCCATTGTGAATGGAAACGAAGATGATTATTTCCAAATAAATGAAAGCACAGGACAAGTTACGCTTTCTCGGACACTCGACAGAGAGACTAAGTCTAGGTATAACTTAAAGGTACTGGCCAGTGACACAGGAGAGAAAGTCACACACAACGCAACAGCCACAGTCGTCATTGATGTGTTGGATGAAAACGATAATGCCCCCATCTTTGATGTATCAGAGTCAATAGTAGAAATACCTGAAACAACACCAAATGGCTTCAAGATTTTCAAATTCTCTGCAACAGACGCTGACCAAGGTCTTAATGGTGAAGTGTCGTTTTCCTTAGCAGCTGGAAATTTTAAAGAAGCTTTCAAAATTGAAAGCACGTCAGGTATTTTATACGTAGACCGCCTTTTGGACTATGAAGAAAATAGTGTTTATTATCTAAACATCAGCGCTAGTGATGGGGGTGCTCCACGCCTAATGTCAACCTTTCAGTTTCTAGTAAAAGTAATAGATGTTAACGATAACCCTCCATATTTTTCTAGTGTAGCAGTAGTTCGGCAAATAGAGGAAGGAGTTTTAATAGGCACTCCAATAGTTACCATTACAGCAGAAGACAGGGATTCCGGATTAAATGGGAAAATTGTATACAATATAACTCTCCAGGACCCTTCCGGAAGTCATTTTGCTGTTGGAACTGATACAGGAGTTATTTATACTACACAAGAGATTGACCGAGAGTTCAGTGACACTTTTAGGCTGACTGTATCAGCTACTGATCAGGCTTTACTTCCATCAAATCGACTGTCAGCTGAGAAATCGGTAACAATTATTGTGGAAGATATCAACGACAACGCGCCTACTTTTGTGTCTATGGACGCGGGGGTTTTACCCGAAGACTCTGACCGTGGGTATAAGGTTATGACCTTATCCGCTATTGACAGAGATGCTAACACTAACGCAGTAATCACCTATGAGCTAGTGGAAGGAGATATGGACATATTTTTTCTAGATCGCAACACAGGTGAGCTGTATTTGTCGAGACAAGTAGATAAACCTAAGGTGTGGTATTCTTTGACCGTGCAAGCTACAGACGGAGCGGCGTTGTCCAGCAGGAAATCCTCTAGAAACAAAGTGACCGTGATCGGAACAATGAAACGACCACAAGGTTTAGTATTCACAGCATCTGAATATTCTGGTTCTGTGTTAGAAAACGAGCCAATAGGAACAACTGTATTATCTGTCCGTGCTCAGTATCCTTCTGGTCAATTAGAAGGAAAAATTGAATATTACCTAGTTGGGATCTACGCAAACGTCTCGCCGCAACAGCGCGTATTCGCTATTAACAGGCTGAATGGGGTAATAACGACAGCTACAGAGATAGACCGCGAAGGTAATGCTCTTGTCTATGAACTGGAAGTATACGCTGTTGATGTGAGTGCCACTGTTCCTAAGACATCTAAAACAAAGGTAAGCTAATTTTTATGACTATGCCATTAAATTATTATATTTTCAAAAATATTCCTTGTACCGAACGAGGAACTTAGGACACCCATAACATGTCACTAAGGATTTTAGTTTTTAAATCCGTATTTATTTCGTGTTTATTTCAGTTTTTAAAATCCGTATTAATTTCGTGTTTATTTTGCACGTATGGCTAAAAATATTATTAATAGCAAGTGCACCCAAATGATGTGTATTGATTTTTGATATTAATAACTTTTAGTCGGTTTTCTATATAAAATTTGTTTCATTTTAAATTTATTTTTGTTCTGACTTATAATAATTAACTTACTTCTGATCAGAAGATATCAATAATATTACGATATAGTTCTCAAAACCGAATAAACCCAATAATCTGAGCACTTTATAGGACAGAAAATTCTTTTATAGGTAATGTTTCTATTTTGAAGCTTAATTTTTACAGTATTGCTACAATCAAGTTTTGTAAATAGTAGGTTTAGCTTACACAAACGGCAAATCAAGGTAAAATTCAATATATGCTTAAAACATTAAGTTCGGTGGTAATGTACAATTGACTTCTATAAGTGTATCAAAGCAAGACATCACTTGTCATGCTAAAAAAGTGTTCATCTTTTATATTTCTACAAACGCAAATATGTAAAATAAGTTTATTTCACATTGACGAAATAAAGATAAAAATTTGTTTAGTATAACTATCGAGAAATAATGAAATATCTGTTTAACTATTTTCGGTAAATCGTGATAAATTCCTTGCTATTTCATGTCTTAAAATGTTTGAACGTATTTTATAGTTATGTGTATTACACACCCAATATAAAAACGTAGGTTTGTAGTGAAGTTCATAATTAATAACAAAAGTAGAATTGCTATAATTATTTAAATCGATATTTGTTGTAGATACTTATCTTCACGTTCATTTGTGCTTTCATAAAGATATGCATAATTTTCATAATTTTTTGAGTGTTAAAGAAGTTTTATGATTATAATTTAGGTAAGAACGTAATGTGTTTGCTCGAGTCTTTTGAGATCTGAAACTTTTGATTAAAAATAATTTCTAAGATTTGAAAAAACAAATATTGAATCATTATTTATCATCTTTATAATTTCAAAATTCAAAAGTCTGCAGTTCGTTGATGTAAATTACTCATGTGAATATGACGAACAAAGTTAAAGTAAAAATCTATCGAAGTGTTTGCACGTGTAACATTAGGCCTAGGTAACATACCAACCACATCCTGTAAACTAAGGCATTGCACTATTATATACCTATAGGTAATTTCGTTATACTGATCATCTTGAAGTTGAAATTCAACTCATGCAAATGAACAGAATAAGCAGACACTTGAATTACAAATATAATTCACCAGAAGTAGATATCAAATGTACGAGGTGTGAGGCGTCTATAAAATATTATCGGATTTTCTCTTTCATTCGACACTGAAGCCCCGAACATGAATCTCAGAACGTTGCCACTTGCTATGCACCTAGTGTATTATCTCTATGCACATGTATGTACCTTATGTTCATGTGATACATAGTCAAGAGCAACACATGATACAACATATAACTCGTTCTCTATTTCCAACTGGTGTAGCGTCTTGAAATGTAGATGGTTGGATTGTCATTAAGCGAAGAAAACCAAAATTTGATGCAATGACAAAAACGTACTTATTTGTTCGTTATGGTTAGCATAATAATTTTTGAACAGAGAGAAAATTAATAATTCCATATAATGAAATGTTATACATGTGTATATACTTTCATTTGTTTCACAGTGACTATAATTCTATATGCGCATGTTTTATATATAAGTTCACATTAATTTAATTAGAATCTGTAGAACTGCGATTCTTATAAGAGACAAATTATTTTTAAAGTGACGGAAAGCACAATTACACTAGAATGAGTACAAGTAATATAGCGTCACTATACCAACTTACATAATCAAATAATAAAAGGTATCATAATGACGTAAAACATTCACAAAAATAAATTAAAAACATTTAAAATTAAAAGAAGATTAAATGAATTATAACTAATTTGCAGCTTAACATTTCATTTGTTATTATGTAATTTTTAAAGTTTATCCGTACTTAACATTTCAATTGTTATTAAAAATTACAGAATAACAATTGAAATGTTAAGTACGGATAACCTTTAAAAATTACAGAATAACAATTGAAATGTTAAGTACGGATAAACTTTAAAAATTACATAAAGGTTATCCGTACTTAACATTTCAATTGTTATTATGTAATTTTTAAAGCTTATCCGTACTTAACAATTCAATTGTTATTATGTAATTTTTTAAGTTTACCCGTACTTAACATTTCAATTGTTATTATGTAATTTTTAAAGTTTACCCGTACACACTAACTGACATATTATAGAAGTAAAATACAAAATAATTGCTTCACGTTTACAAATTATAAGAATTAAATGCAACAATGGTAACTGATAATGATAGCATGAGTCAGAATTTTATAGTAATACTGGGTTTATTACGGTGGCTGAACTAATCCAATTTACCTATTTATCTTCAGGTAATAACAATACCTGAACGAATCTGTTTGTAAATAAATTTAGTAAGGGTTAAATCTGAAAAGACTTTTCGACACAGTTTATCTTATTTAAAGCTGGACAATGCTTTCCAAAGTGAAAGTAGTAAATCAACTGAATAATTTGTTTACTGTAAATGATATGCAAAGCATTTTTTATCAAGCTTGTAATTTGAAATAAAATTGCATAAAAAATGCAGGTTTGAGCAACTGATAGTAGAGAAGGGATACTCATCTCATTTAGGACTACTTAGTATTTTATTTCCACAAATCTCTACATGTTTTGACGTCATCATTCCTATTAGCCGATCTCCCATAGGACTAAACGATTTCCATGTGTATTATATCTTAGATGGTACCGAAGAGATTTTAAACAGCAGACAACAGAATTAGGAATTTGTTTCTAATTATCTTAGGATTTGAGCTGCTCATTCGTGATTGATCGTAATAATAATGTCTACAGAACAACATGTTTCCTTGTTTTGTGGGTTTTTCTTTACTTAGATGTTTATTAGTTCATTCAATTCAACCTAAACCTAAGCACAACAAAAAAACACATCCAGGAAGGACACAACAAATGCTTCATTGAAGTGACAGTTAATATGCATAACAAGAACACAAAATCCATTAAAGAATTTGACATGTAGATCCTCTTTTTCTGTAAAATTATAAATATTATTGTATGACAATAATTACTACTTAACGTCTAAATATCTTTTAAGTGGTTCTTTGTCAAAACATATTTTACTTCATTCATAATAACTGTCAAAAGAAAACAGTATTTGTAAGACATCGGTGTTGATACATCACATGTAATAAAACTTTGGAATGAAGGAACTGACATCAAAAACAACAAAAAAAGAACTCGAAAAATGTTTTTTAATAAAGTTTACAAAATATGAAGCCCATGAGGTTAAGTGACGAGTTACAAGTCGTATTAATAGTGAACAGTGTCTATATTTTCAAACTTATATACATATAATTTTGTTTTTAAATCAACTGATGGTGAGCGACAGTTATAAAAAGCCAAAACAACTCTCAGATATAAAAAGAAGGATCATATTGACATTTACCCTATAATTTAGCAGAATAAACGTATTATTTATCCGCTACTCTGAAAATTGATCAAATTTTTCGCTCGGATAGTTAGATGTACTTACCTGGGGAGATTTTTCAGTGCCTCCAAGCGTTAGGCTTAATGTTGAGTGAACAAGAGAGCTGTATATTTCTTTTTGAAAAAACAAAACTGGATAGGTATGTATATATTTGTCAAACATTTACATGTATATGTATATATATATATGCATTAGGTTGTTTTTTTTTGTCTATTCATATATTTATCTCGGTCTTCAGTTCTTATTCCGAAGCATGAAACGCAACTGTGATATAATTTTTGTTGTGAATATGTAGAGTCATTTCTGAAGGTCCCACGAGGATAATAACAAGTACATTCATATATAAAATAGTGAAAGTTTGTATGGTATGTAAGTCTGTTTTTAGGAAAGCTGAAGACATGGACATTAAAATGAAAATTGCTGTTGTAAGTAGTAAAAGATAAGTTTTATCTTTGAATCAAAACGTGCTATTTTTTACTCTGGAGCTGTTCTGTTTCTAAATTATTAACATGTGGATAAAAATCATGAGTGTTGTTCGCGCTTTGATAACAAACAGAATCTTAAAATTTTATACTGTGCATGGCTTTGATAACAAATTAAAGTCGTGATTTTCGTAAAATCCTTTTTTGGTGCACAGTTGAATTTACGGTTTCTGTACAACAGAACACTAATTGAAACTCGTGAATTTTGTACAATTTACAGTTTTGATAAGCCAACAACAGTTCTTAGTTTATATAAGCACACAATGATATATGACTTTGTTATTAAAATGCAGAAAACGTAAGCTTTAACTTCAGAATAGAATATTAAGGCTCTTTTTGCACTATATTACTTTGGACAGTATAAAGTGGTTTTTTCTTTGCTCAAGGAGCAGTTTAAAAGATAAACAGAAAACGTGATCTGTGTAACTCAAAATTATAAAAAGAAAATCGAAGGATTGGATGAATAAGAAATATAACCAGCGTTGGTTAGACGAAACACGCCATCATTAAACGATCAGAAATAATTGTTTCTGACTTTTACGAAATACGTGTGTTTGATTAGCAGCTGCACCTGGTAACTATATTGCATGCAGATACAAAAGTTTACACTTCTAAATTATTCTACTTTAACAAATATATCTTTCTGAAGCGACAAATTTCTCACACTATTGGGCTTTCCAGAAAATCAGAAACTTACTTTTTCGATGTATTCTCCTATATTTTCAAATTTCTTCAAGACTGTACAGAGATTCTAAGTTCTAGCAGTCTTATATCAAAAACAATTTATTTGTAGTTTAAACGTAAATATATAAACCACAGTTGTCCGTCTG